AATGACTTGCCCAGGTAGTAAATAGCTAAGCTTGGTTTGAACTCAGGTCTTCCTGACTCAAGGCCCTGAACTCCAATCTGCATAAGAGGAAAGACTTGAACCCAGTTTTTCCTGACTTTAAATGCAACTCTCTATCTACTCTAACAATAGCTATCCTTTATATAGGGTTTAAAGGTTGAGAAGCACTTTACACATGCTATCTCATTTAATCCTCAAAATAACCCTGGAATATAGATGGAATAATAATAATATATTATTATTACCATTTTACTGATAAGGGAATTAATATTGAAAGAGGTTAAGTGACTTACCCAGGATTACATAACTAGGAGGTATCTGAAGCAGTACTGGCACTCAGGTCTTTCTGACTCCAGGTCCAGCACCAACCATTTTGCTACCTATATATCATGCTGCCCCTAGCCTAAGATTAGCCTCTCTCTCTCTGTCTCTCTCTCTGTCTCTGTCTCTATCTCTCTCCCTTCCCCTTTCCCCTCTCTCCCTCCTTCCTTCTCTCTCCCTCTATTTCTTTTAAGAAATCACTTTTGTTGCCTAGTTCCGAAAGCATTCATATATTTTTGCTGTGTTACAAAGTCTGATTGTGATGTGGAAATTATCTATCTAGCAGTCCAGAGCAGTTTGAATGCTTTTGCCTTTTTTATGGTATTTAATTGGCATTTGTTATATTTTACCATTATTTTTTATTATGTATTATGTAATAATTTAGTATGTTATATTAATATAATTATATGTTATTATAATATTATTTATGGTATTTAGCTGGCATTTCTTATAGCTTTCTTTAATGATTAATTTGAGTAATATGAACTGAAAGTTATTATTTTTTTCTAAATAAGAAAAAGTGCTCAACCTAACCACAAATAGTAATATGCTGGTCTACAAAGATCTGTAGATAGACTTTGGGCAAGTCGTAGTATACTTATTGCCTTCTGAAAAGGGAGGTCAAAAGTTTTATTAACTTAAAAAAGATGGAATCACTCTTGTTATATATTAGTACAAAATTTCTGCCAGAGTAAGAGTCAAGGCAGTTGAACTGATAATGAGAAATGCATTCATATCAGAGAACAAAAAGTTGAATAAAAAAACACTAAAGGTCTGCATCATCTCTATTTTTCTTAGAATATAATTTATTTTCCAATGGAAAAAGAACAGTGACTGACAGTAACATAGGTTCCAATTTAGTGTGTATCTTTACAACATTCTGTCTTAGTGATTGAATGAGGAGAAATGTTTCATTATATTGTCAACATTTGTTAGGACATTAAAATTCCCCAAGAAATACCCTCCACTGTCTTGATTCTGTATGGGAAACCTATATAGAAGTACTCCTTCACTTCAGTTTTCCAAATTCCTCACTCCAACTCCTCTATACATAAGGGCTCTTCCATCATAGGTTTCAGCCTCCATTCCGGCCCAAATGAATCCTTGCATACCTCTTTGAAGTCAAAGGCTTTTAACCCAAGAAGCTCCTGCCCTTGGTTCTGTCCTTTGGGGCCAAGCAAGACAACAAGTTACTTTTTTTTTTCCCACATGATACCACTTTGAATACTTGAGGACATCTATTTGAATACTAGCTAGCGTTTGGACAATGCTTTAAGGTTTGCAAAGCTCTTTATATATTATCTCATTTGATCCTCACAATAACCCTGTGAGGTAGGTGCTTTTATTTTTCCCAGTTTTATAGATGAAGACACTGGAGCTGAGAGAGGCTAAGTGACGTCCAAGCTTTCAAAACTACTAAGCGTCTAAGACAAGATTTGAACTCAGGTCTTCCCTAGTAATTCTTCTCCAGGCTAAACATCACCATTTCCTCCCACTGATCCTCATATGGCACCATCTTAAAGCCAATTCATCATTCAAATCTGCATGCCTTTTAATATCAAAGCCAGTTGGCTCCTAGGTATGCTTTGATGTGCTGAACTCTGAGTTCTATAAGTTGTAGGACAGTAGATGGTGAATACTGTAGGCTGACCTAAGGAAGGACATAGTGATGTTGGTGCTCCTGTTTAAAGGATGGAAAATGAGGCCAGTCATATCCAGTCAATAAATGCTTATTAAATGCCTACAATGTTCCAGGCACAGTGCGAAGCACTAGAGAGACAAAAACAGGGAAAAGATAGCTCCTCTTCCTAAGGAGCTCAAAATCTATTGAAAAATTCCTAAATCGTAAAAGCATATGGGGTAACTAGGTGGTGCAGTGGATAGAGTGCCAGGCCTGGAGTTAGGAAGACTCATTTTCCTGAGTTCAAATCAGGCTCCGGACACTCATTAGCTGTATGAACCTGTGTAAGTCAGTTAACTCTGTTTCAGTTTCCTCATCTGTAAAATGAGCTGAAGAAGGAAATGACAAACCAGGCCAGTATCTTTGCCAAGAAAACCCCAAATGGGGTCATGGAAAGTTGGACACAACTGAAATGACTGAGCAGCAACAACAGAGACAAATATTGACTTTCCTGGCTGCCATATTAAACTGTTGACTCATTTTGTGTTTATAGTTTACTAAAATTCCCAGATCTTTTTCACTTGAACTGCTGTTCAGCTGCAACTTTCCCCCATCTTATGTTTATGAAGTTTCCTATTGCCTCCAAGATAAACAATGAACTCCTTTGTTTAGCATTTAAAGTCCTATTACACCTGGTCCCAAACTATCTTTCTGACTTCATTGAACATTACTTCCCTTTGTGATTTGTGTGTCTGTGATCCAGCCAAACACATTTTCTCTCTGTTTCCTCTTCTGACATTCCACCTCCCATCCCTATACCTTTGCACTTCCTGTCCCTCTTGTCTGGAATGCATTCCATCCTCAGTTCTGCCACATAGAGTTCTTCTCTTTAAGAGACAGCTCAGGCTCCATCTTCCTAATGAAGCTCTTCCTGATCCTCCTAATCTCTATTGCCCACCCCAAACTAGCTAGTACTGAACCACTTTGTATATTTTGAAGTTATTAGTTCTATATTTATGTTGTATATATTTATACACATAATTGTTGTGTTCTGAATTAGAACAAAAGGTAGGAGAGAGTATTTCATTCTTTCTGCTTGTATTTGCAAAGTTCCTAACTCATAGTAGTCACTTAATTATTGATTGATATATTAAAATGTAAGACTTTATGTTTATTAAATTAAATTTCATCTTGATTAATTCTGCCTAGTCTTCTAGCTCTGTCAAGATCTTGGATTCTGATTCTTCCTTCCAAACTTTTAGCTTCCTTCCTCATTTTGTGTCATCTTCAAATCTAATTAGCATGCTATCTACTTTTTAAATCCAAATAATTGATAAAAATATTCAATAGCTAAAGGCCAAATGCAGATTCTATTTTTTTTTTAGGCAATTGGGGTTAAGTGACTTGCCCAGGGTCACACAGTTAGTAAGTGTCAAGTGTTTAGTCTGAGGCTGGATTTGAACTCAGGTCCTCCCAACTTCAGGGTCAGTGCTCTATCCACTGTGCCATCTAGCTGCCCCAATTTGGAGGTTTTTTTGTTTGTTTGTTTTTGCTTTTGTTGATGAGGCAATCAGGGTTAAGTGACTTGCCCAGGGTCACACAGCTAGTAAGTGTCAAGTGTGTAAGGCCACATTTGAACTCAGGTCCTCCTGACTCCAAGGCTGAAGCTTTCTCCACTGTGGCATCTAGCTGCCCCATGTGCCATCTAGTGGCCCCAAATGCAGATTCTATTTGAAACCTTCTAATTGGACCTTGAACCATTAATGACTCTTCTTTGAATCTAGCCATTCAATCAGGTCTAAAGCCACCTAATTATATTTGAGGTCAAATCTCTCTCTTCCTCCCCACCCACTATGCATGCATGTGTATGTATATATAAATAGAGCTATATACTTAGAGCTATCTTTCTTGCTGTCTCTGTCTATCTATATGTCTATATCTTTGTATACAGAGGCATCTATCTCTCTATCTATTTAAACACTAAAAAAACTCAAAACAAACCCAGACATCATGGAAACTGGTCCTGCACTTCCTAGCAAATAGAGGGAGAAGGAATGGAAGCAGTGTCAGATTTTGCATTCTTGGTCTCAAAGATCGCTGTAGACAGCTTTCTTCATATTCCAGTGAATGCTGACAATTTGGTCTTTAGTTCCTCTTTGTCTTTGAAAACCAGCCTGCACTTCTGGTAATTCTTGGTTCAAACATTATTGAAGTCTGGCTTGCAGAATCTTAAGCATAACCTTTCTGGAATGTTAAATAAGTGCAATTGTTCAGTAATTTTTGAATGTTCTTTGGTATTGCCGCTCTTTAGGATTGATATGTAAACTGAACTTTTCCAATCCAGTGGCCACTACTAACTAAGTTTTCCAAATTTGCTGGTATGTTGAGTGCAGCACTTTAATAGTATCATCTTATTAGATTATTATTGTTAAATAATATTAAAAATAGAGAAGTTGCAATCTGTACTAAAGAGATTCAATAGCATGAGATTTGTACATTGAAGTAATTTTTCTACTCACTAGTTTCTTTTCTACTTACTTGTTGCTTAGGAGAGTATTGGTCAGGGGAAGTGTCAAAATTGTGAAATAGGAGAAGTTTGCTTTGGTGTTCCCCTTTTCTACACCCTTTCTTTCACTTTGTATTCCTTTCTCCTTTCTGTAACCGTGGCCCTCCTGGTGTCTAGGGGCCTACAGCCTCTCTTCTCAATTGAAACCTGCTGTCAAAAAAGGCCTTGACACCTCAGTGACACTAACATCTCTCTCCATATACTGTACATTTTTTGATGGGACTTATCATTTCATTGATAAAGAGAACTTCCAGCAGGGAAACTCCCTCTACAAATGCAGGTCAGTTCCTCCTCTACAACTTAGCATTTTAAAGAGTTGCCTGGTGCAAATTATCACAAATACTTTTTCATTAACAATAGTAATACGTCTACTAAAATAACTACCATACAAGGTAAGAAATGGCAGGGAAATAGGAGAAACCATAAAAGGAGATGTGGGATTTGAGGAAGGAGCTTCAGAATAGAAGATTTCTATTAAGAGGACCAATGTGTTCTCTCTCCCAGGGATCCCTGTTTGGATATAGAATGAAAGATTTGTCTGCTGTGGAAGGAATTTAGTGCATCAAGAGAGGAGATTGTGAAAGTTTTTAATGGAGAAAGGTGCTTCTGTGTGCCTCTGAAATTACATGACTTTCCTAACCAACCACTTTGCCCACAGTATTTGCAAGGTAAGTCCCAGATTTGTTAGGAATTTCCCACCCTGTTTTCTCTTTATTTATTCTGATGCTGAGGTTTCTTTCTTCCCAGAGATACAAATGCATGTTTTCGGGTCATCTACAGAAAAAAACTGAGTGCTGGGGTTACTCAAGAGCAGGTTCCTTTAAAAGAACATTTCTCAACTTTCTTCTACACTTTCTAGGTTTGCTGTGCCCCATTTGGGATGAGGCTTCTATGGCCATTAATGAAAATTGTGTTGGGGGCTGGAAGTTGGGGATAAGTAGGGTCACCATGCTGATGGTCAGAATAGAGCACAAAGGAAAACTTAGAAAGTGTTTTTCATGGTCCAGAGTGATGACCTCCCTTTTAAGGGGATAATGCAGGTCAAGTTCAATTATCCACAAAGCAGAAGTAGCTGGGGATTGTGTCTCAGACTTATGAATGTACTCATCACTATGTGCATGTAACCTCCATAGCTGCTGCTAGTGGAAAGGGAGAGAAATCCTTTTATCCCAATCCACATTTTTGAAAGAGAGGAGCAATGAAGGTGAACAGAAGTTGATTTTCCTTTTAAAGCCTACTAAAATGTCTAGCACTTCCTGCTTAGTCACCCAAGATCTTTGACATTGTCTCCAGGGTCGGTGACTATGGAGACCAATCAGAAGCCTCTAGTAGTACATGTCTTAAAGCAAGGGGCCTGGGCATACCAGAAGGGCCTAGGGTCCAGGTTCAACTCTATTTATGCTCCATTGGATGCTTTCAAAGGTTGCAGCCCAGCAGATCAGGGATGGCTTCCTTAATTACTCCCATCACAAAAGGAGTACATCTGACTTAAGAGAGAGACAGTGAGAGAGAATGAGAGAGGGGTGGGGAGCTAAAGGCAAAGAAAAGGGAAGAGAGAGGAAAGAAAAGCAAAGGAAGAAAGAGGAAAGGGCAGAAGAGAGGAAAGAGAAGGAAAAAGAGAAGAAAAGATCCATGAAGAGTCAGAGATTCAGTAAAGATGACTCAGGTCTCTGGCTTGAAAGGATGGAGAGAGGAATTTATTCTGCTGAGGAAAAAGAAATGGAAATTTCAGGGTACAGAGGTACGGGACTGGGTGGCAATGCACATAGGGAAAAAATCAGAGCTACAGGGAAACTTCAGCTGTTTTGGGCACACTGCCTAGCATTTCTTCTTTCAAACCATGCTGTCTGTGAAATGATGAAGAAAGGACCATTCTTTTAATTTCTGGAGGGGCTATATGTGACTGGGTATGTGGTATCTTTGTTGTATTGTAAATTAGAAGGACTTGGGAGGAATGGTTTTCTTAGGGGTGGGGAGAGAAGAGATATATCAGTCCCAACTCATTAAAATAGACGAAACTTTGCTGGTGTGGAAGATTTGTGGCAATTGAAGGTGCTTACTATGGAGGCATCAAATTTTGAAAGGGTAAAGGAACTTGGAGCTGGGCTGCAGTTGAGGCTAGGTCAGGATCAGGCTTTTGGCAAGGAAAGCATCAACACTGGAGAGAAAAGCTCCCAGAAAGACAATGCCATTTAGTGTTTGATCAGATTGTGCTCAGTGATGGTGAAATGTGGACTGGTGGCTAGGTGTTGCAGTGGCTAGAGTGCTAGGTCTGGAGTCAGAAAGACCCGAGTTCAACCTAGTTTCAGATACTTACTAGCTTGGGAAAGTCACTTAACCTCTAATTCGGTTTCTTAATCTGTAAAACTGGGATAATAATAACACCTACCTCCCAGGTTTGTTGTGAGAATCAAACAAAATAGTATTTATAAAGCACTTTATAAACCTTAATAGCACTACAAAAATGCTAGCTATTATTAATGGCTTACAAAAGCCATTTATGTCCCAACAAGGCTTAAATTTTAATTTCCCTATTAGTAATTGGTAAGTTAATGGATTCTATGCTAAACATTCTATGCTTCTATATTGTTAAACCTCTTTTATGTGTGAAAATAAACTATCTGTTCCATATCTGATTCATGTTCATATTCATATTTTTGCCTTTGCTAGGGAGAACCTATAGCCCATAACCTTTTAAAAAATGATTGGCAACTTTATAAGTAGCAACTTTTCCTGGATTATATGGGGTTGAGGTGAAGAGGTAGTGAATACAAGAAGTAAGGAATCTACTTCCCCTACTGAAAAGGCAGATTTCCCCAGTGATGAACTTTGGTCAAACTGAGATGGAAGGGAAAGTACAGAGACTGGCACAGGTCTCCTGATCCTGTGGCTTCAGGTGGGTGGTTGTGTAGCTATTGTCTGTGTCAGACTAGTACCTTCTCTTTTTTGGCCTTTCGGCCTGGTGGGGAGAGGGGATTTCCCTCTTTACTTCCTCTCCACAACAGAAATGCCTGACCTGACCCCTCTTTCTCTGTCTCCTTCAGTGGATCCTTCTCCAGATCATGCCCTCTAACCATAAATTTCCTTAAGAGTTCTGTCCTGGGTCGTCTTCTCTTCTCTCTCTATACTGTTTCACTTGGTGAGCTTATCAGCTTTCATGGATTTAATTACCATCTCTATGCTGTTAATTCTCAAATTTACCTTTGCTACCCCAATCTCTCTGCTGACCTTTAATTTCACACATCCAAATGCCTTTCAGACATTTCAAACTGAAAGTCCAGTAGACATCTCAAACTCAGTGTGTTCAAAATGGAACTCATTATCTTTCTCCTAAACCATTCCCCACTCCAACCTTCCTTATTGCTGTAGAAGGCTGGTGAAAGTGAGGCTGGTGACTTTGCACAGCCCTCCTTCACGCAAATAAAATTCAGTTGCAAGTCAAGTCATCATCTCCCTGATGTCATGGTCCTCTTTGAGAATGAAAGATAAACCACACACCTTACTGTAGAAGGCAGTGCTATGCTTCCAATCCCTCATGCTCCCAACTTAGAAGTCACACTGGATTCCTCACTATTTCTCATTCCCTCCACCCACATACAAGCTGTTGCCAAGTTTTGTTGATTTAACCTTTGCAATATCTCTAGAATAGTCCCTCTTCTCTCCTCCAATACTGCCACCATTCTGGTGCAGACTTTCATCACCTCATGCCTTGATTATTGGAATAGACTATTGATGTGTCTGCCTGCCTCAAGTCTCTCCCCACTGCAGTCCATTCTCCATTCAGTCCTTAGAGAGACTTTCCTAAAATGCATATTTGATCATGTCACCCCATCCCACCACTCAATAAATCCCAGTGGCTTTCTGTTGCCTCCAGGAGCAAATGCAAAAAGTTCTGTTAGACATTTAAAGCCCTTCATAACCTAGTTCCCTTTTACCTTTTCAGTCTTCTTACTCCTTACTCCCCAAAACATGCTCTTCCTTCCAGTGACACTGGCCTTTTGGCCGTTACATGAATAGGACAGTCCCTCTCTTGGCTCTAGGCATTCTCTCTGTCTTCCATGCCTGAAATATTTCTCCTTCTCTGCTCCAAGTACTGACCTCCTGGGCTTCCTTTAAATCCCACCTAAAACCCTACTTCTATACTTTCCACATTCCTGTTAATTCCCATGTTTCACCTTTCTTGATAATTTCCCATGTATTCTATCTATAGCTTGCTTTGTATATATTTGTGTTCATGTTGTCTTCTCCATTAGATTTTTTTTTTTTGGCTAGGCAATGGGGTTAAGTGACTTGCCCAGGGGCACACAGCTAGTAAGTGTCAAGTGTCTGAAGCCCTCCTGACTCCAGGGCTGGTGCTCTATCCACTGTGCCACCTAGCTGCCCCTCCATTAGATTTAAAATTCTCTGAGGGCGGGTACTGTCTTTTTTCTTTTTTAATATCCCTAGGCACTTAGCAGAGTGCCTGGTACATAGTAGGTGCTTAATAAATGTTTATTGAATTGAATTGAATTTGCTTGGCTAAGTGAGCCTGAAATCACCTGGAAACCCTACCTATCTTCTCCCTTTCTCTTTCATTTCCTGAGCTTAAATCAACCTCTAGAGAGGAGACATGAACATTTCTAGCCTAAGCGAATACCTTATTTGTTAGAAAGTTCTCAAGTTTCTGAATCCAGTGCTGGCTGTCCAGAAGATTTCCTCCTTCTTTAGAAGGAAGGTGAGCAACACCAGGATCATCCTATTGTTGAAGAACTAAAGTAAGCCATGTACTAGCTGGATGGGAAATCTGAACATTGTAGTTTACCCAAACAATGAGAGTCAAAAGTGAATGTGAAGTGTCTAAAAATCCTCAGAGCTGTCTTTGCTTTCTGGGGCAACAATAAGAACCGTAAAAGGCTTTTGCAGGTGGTTTATGTTTCCACTTTTGTTCATGTGTGCTTATAAGTCTTTTGCACCTGATGAAGTTCCTGTGGTGGAGGAAATAAGCAGCTATCCTATTACACACACACACACACACACACACACACACACACACACACACACACATGCACACACACATCTATCTATCTATCTATCTATCTATCTATCTATCTATCTATCTATCTATCTATACTAAGTACCTTTATTGGGGGTATTAATCACATTTTTTTTCTTTAAAATTTTTTTTTATTAATTTATTTTGATTTATCAACATTTACTTCCATAAACTTTTGAGTTTTAAATTTTTCTCCCCCTTCTTTCCCACCCCCAAGATGGCATGCATTCTGATATAAGCTATACATATACATTCCCATTAAACATATTTTCACATTAGTCATGATGTAAGGAAGAACTAGAACCAATAGGAAGAAACACCAGAAAGAGAAAACAAAACAAAACAAGAAAAAAAAAGAGGAAATAATATGCTTCGATCTGCATTCAAACTCCATAGTTCTTTCTTTGAGTGGATAGCATTTTCCATCATGAGACCTTTGGAGATGTCTTAGATCTTTGCATTGCTGAAAGGAGCCAAGTCTGTGAAAGTTAGTCATCATACATTGTGGCTGTTACTGTGCACAACATTCTCCTGGTTCTGCTTACTTCACTCAGCATCAGTCCATACAAGTCTTTCCAGGTTTTTCTGAAATCTGCCTGCTCATCATTTCTTATAACACAATAGCATTCCATTACA